GGCTCAAGTGGTAGAGCGCTAGCCTTGAGCTGAAGAGCTGAGGGACAGCGCCCAGGCCCAGAGTTCAGGCCCCACGACTGGACCAAAAAAAGAAATGTACTCTTTACCTTGCCCATGTAATTGTAACCCCTCTGTAAGGTATGTTCACAAAAAAAAAAAAAAACCCTCAGAGAATGCCCGGGCCCTGAGCTCAAGCCCCAGGAGCAGCACAAAACCAAACCAAAACAGTAAGAGAACCCTACAGAAGAACCCAGTGTTGGGGCTGGGAAGGCGGCTCAGTGTAAGAGTGCTTGCCTTGCATGCCTGAAGCCCTGGGTTCCATTCCTCAGCACCACATAAGCAAAAAGAAAAAAGCCGGAAGTGGTGCTGTGTGTGGCTCAAGTGGTAGAGCACTAGCCTTGAGCTGAAGAGCTGAGAGATAGCGCCCAGGCCCAGAGTTCAGGCCCCACGACCAGAACCCCCCCCCAAAAAATAAGAACCCAGTGTTCCTGATTAAGAGCAGTCACTACTTTAGTCTCCACTGTCTGCTCCCTAATCCCTCTAAACACAGTTGGCAAAAAGGCTTTAATTACACAAAAGCAATTCTTATGAAGCCATACAAGGTTGGGTGTTGGTGGCTCACACCTGTAATCCTAACCATTCAAGAGGCTGAGATCTGAGTTTCTCCAATTGCCCAGCATAAAGCTTCAAGTGGAGCTGTGGCTCAAGTGATATAATACAACCTTTGCACACAAAAGCTCAGGGATATCACCCAGGTCCTGAGTTCAAGCCCCAGTATGAACATACACACACACACACACACACACACACACGAAAAAGAAAAAAAATATATATGGCTGGGCACTGGTGGCTCACACTTGTAATCCTAGCTACTCAGAAGGCTGAGATCTGAGGATCGCAGTTCAAAGCTAGCCCCGGCAGGAAAGTCTGAGACTCTTAGCTCCAATAAACCACCAGAAAACCAGAAGTGGCGCTGTGGCTCAAGTGGTAGAGTGCTTGCCTTGAGTTGAAGAGTTGAAGGACAGTGCCCAGGCCCAGAGTTCAAGCTCCACAAGAGACAAAATAAATAAATAATTAATTAATTAAAATACACACACAGTCAGGATTCTGGTTACTTATAAGGCTGGGATCTGAGGATCTCAGTTCAAAGCCAGTCCAGCCCAGAAAGTCTATGATAGTCTCTTATTCTCAATTAACCAGCAATAAAACAGAAGTAGAGGTGTGGCTCAAATAGTAGGTACCAGCCTTGAGCAGAAAAGCCAAGCAAGGGCTGGGAAGGTGGCTCAGTGGTAGAGTGCTTGCCTTGCATGCATGAGGCCTTGGGTTCGATTCCTCAGCACCATATAAGCAGAATAAAGCTGGAAATGGTGCTATGACTCAAGTGGTAGAGCACTTGCCTTGAGCTGAAGAGCTGAAGGACAGTGCCCAGGCCCAGGGTTTAGGCCCCACGACCAAAAAAAACCAAAAAAACAGAAAAGCCAAGCAAGAGTATGAAGTCCTGAATTCAAGCCTCAATACTGGCATAAATTGGACACCTGAAACTAAATTCTGTGCATTTTGCCATAATTAAAAAATAGTTACAAAGAAAAAAGTACTGGTTTGAAAAGTATCAGACTACTTTTAGTAAGAAAATAGGTTACTTCTCTTTCTATAATCAGATGGTTAAGAAGCGAGTACTGGATCCCTAAATCTCCAGAGGCAAATATGGCAGTAACCCCCACTCTCCACCCCCTACATCCTCACGTTTATAGAGAATCAAGGGAGAACTATTCAAGATTTAAAAAAAAAAAAAAAAAGCAGCAGCCAGGTGTTGGTGGTTCATGTCCATAATCCTAGTAACTCAGGAGGCTTAGTTAGAACTAAGGACCCTGGTTTGAAGCCAGCCCAGACATGAACCTCTTATTTCCAAATAACCAGCAAAACCAAACACTGGAGGTGTGGCTCAAGTGGTAGAATGACAACTTTGAGCAAAAAAGCCAAGGCAGAGTGTGAGGCCCACAGAACCAGAACCAAAACAACAAATATGTGTGTGTTTGTGTGTATTCTGGGCTTTTCAGAAGAACCAGTTTTTTGTTTTTTTTTTAGTATTAGCCATTTAATGGAATGTGTTGATCGTATATTTATAAGACAGAAGGTAATTTTTTTTCATCTTTCTCATTCTCTCATTTAGACTCTCATGATATCCCAGTGTACCCTCACTGTGTCAGCAAGGTCACTACGGTATTATATGCAGCCTTATTCCTGCATTGGACTTCAGGGGAGAAAAAACTGGAGCATCAGAGCTCCCGGTGTGGCAGGCTGAGCAGGTGCAGTGCTGTCTACAGAAGCAGAGGTGTCCTCTCTCCAGCTGGCTGTTGCTTCTGAAAGAACTCTTTGATTTGGGTTAATTGGCCCCAGAATCTGTTTCTCAGTGGAGGGATGTGGTGGCTGGGGTCCAGGATGTTTGTTACTCTGCGTTCTCTCTCTTGCTTCCACAGCTTGTAAGGGTGGGGAGGGAAAAATGGCTGCCCTCTTTCTCTTCGAATCTGTAATGTAATTCCACTGACAGCCAGCATACCCCATATTGCCAGGACAACAAAATCTAAAAAACAAAACAAAACAAAAAAATCCCACAAGATGAGCACCTTGAATTCTAAACTTAACATGTTTCTAAATCTAAAACATCCTAAATCCTTCATAGAATAAATGTTTTCTTTTCTAATATCATATTTCCTGGGAAATTGAGTCCAAACTAGTGTGCTTACAAACCAAAAGATGAGTAGAGAAGCTACAGACTTATTTATGAATTAGATATTTTTAGCCAGGCACCCGTGGCTCACACCTATAATGCTAGCTGCTCGGCAGGCTGAGGATCAAGGTTTAAAGCCAGTCCAGACAAGACTCAGAAAGTGGAGCTGGAGCTCAAAGTGAGCAAAAGAGCTCAGGAACAGTACCTAGGCCCCGAGTTCAAGCCACATGACTGATGAACAAAAAAAAAAAAAAACAAAAAAAAATCAAAGTCTCTAAGACTCTGATCACCAATTAATCAGCAAGCAGCTATAAGTGAAGCTGTGGCTGAAATGGTAAAGTGCCAGCCTTGAGTGAAAAAGCTAATCAAGAACATCAAGCGCCAGTAACAACACAAGAAAAGGATTAAAATCCCATGATGTACAGATTTGCTTTTAATAATGCCTAATAATCATAGTTGTGTTTGTTCAACTTATCCTTAATTTTTTTTTTTTGTCAGTCATGGGGCTTGAACTCTGGGCTTGGGCACTGTCTCTCAGCTCTTCGGCTAAGGCGAGCGCTCTACCACTTGAGCCACGGCACCACTTCTGGTTTTCTGAGTGGTTTATTAGAGATAAGAGTTTCACGAACTTTCCTGCCCCGGCTGGCTTGAACTTCGACCCTCAGATCTCAGCCTCCTGAGTAACTAGGATTACAGGCATGAGCCACAAGTGTATTCTTTTCGACAATATAACATTTCTGAAATCAACATACTTTATAATCCTTGTGAAGGCTTAATGTAATTTTTTTAACTGCAAAAAGTTAATAGAAGCCAGACAACAGTGGTTCACGACTGTAATCATAGCTACTCAGGATGCTGAGATCTGAGGAATAGTTTCAAAGTCAGCCATAGCAGGAATGTTTCTGAGACTTATTTCTAAGTAACCAGCAAAAAGCTGCAAGTGAAGCTGTTACTCAATGGGTAGAGTGCCAGTCTTTTTTTTTGGTTGGTTGTGGGGCCTGAACTCTGGGCCTGGGTGCTGTCCCTCAGCATTTTAGCTCAAGGCTAGCGCTCGACCACTTGAGCCACAGCACCACTTCCGGCTTTTTTCTGCTTATGTGGTGCTGAGGAATTGAACCCAGGGCCTCATGCATGCAAAGCAAACACTACCACTGAGCCACCTTCCCAGCCCCTAGTGCCAGTCTTAAGAAAAAAAACAAAACTAAGAAACAGAGCCTCAGTCTTGAGTCCAAGACCCAGTACTAGAATTCCACACACACACACACAAAAAAAGAAATTAAGGGAAAATCTAACAGGATCTTGTAATTGAGAAATATATTTAATAACTGAAAGATTACATATTAAATTAAAAATAATCATGAAGAGTTCATTCTCATCCTTGATTCCATCCCTGTGTGTTGGGTATCAATCATCCACACAGGTAGCATTTTTTACCATAAGAGAAATAACTTGGTATAAAGTAAGCAATCCTACCTGGGCATTATAGGCTCACGCCTATAATCCTAGCTCCTCAGGTGGCAGAGATCTGAGGATCAGGCAGGAAAGTCTGTGAGACTCGTATCTCCAATCAACTACTCAGAAAAAAACTGTAGTAGTATTGTGGCTCAAATGGTAGAATGTTAGCCTTCAGCACAAACAGGCTGAGAGACAGCACCCAGGTCCTGAGTTCAAGCCCAAGACTGGCAAAAAAAAAAAAAAAGAAAAAAGAAAAAGGAAGTAATCCTATCAGGCACCTGTGACTCCTATTTGTAATTCTACCTAACTGCCAAACAGATCTGAGGATCATGATTCTAAGCCAGCTGGGGCAGTTAAGTCCATGAGACTTTCATGTCCAATTAACTAGCAAAAACAGTGGAGCTGTGGCTCAAGTGGCCGAGCTCCAGGTGCTGGTGGCTCATACCTATAATCCTAGCTACCTCAGGAGGCTAAGATCTGAGGATCACAGTTTGAAGCAGCCCAGGCAGGAAAGTTCTCATAACTTGACTTCTGGAATTGAAAGCCCTTTATATAATTTAATGAAAATAAATCTTTTTTAAAAGTGAGAGTATAAGATCTAGAGTTCAAGCTCAAGGATGGATACACAGACACACACAAAGGTAATCCCAGCTTAGGAATGTGTGTGTGTGTGTTTTGGCCAGTCCTGGGGGTTTGAACTCAGGGCCTACGCACTGCCCCTGAGCTTCTTTTGCTCAAGGCTAACACTCCAACCCTTGAGCCACAGCACCACTTCTGGCCTTTTCTGTTTATGTGGTACTGAGGAATCAAACCAGGGTTTCTTGCATGGTAGGCAAGCACTCTACCACTAAGCCACATCCCTAGCCCTAGAAATATTTTTAACTGGAAAAAATCTTATCCCATGTCCCTTTTTATTAAATGGATTTCATTTCTATTCTCATATATGTATATAAATTCAATGATATTCCCCTACCCCCTCCCATTCACTGGTTCAAAATAATTTTTTTGTTCAAGTACTAGAACTTGAACTCAAAACCTGGCGCTATCCTTTAGCTTTTTTGCTCAAGGGTGAAGCTCTACCACTTGAGCCATAGCTCTACTTCTAGCTTTTAGCTGGTTAATTGGAGATAAGAGTCTCAGGAACTTTCCTTCCCAGGCTGGCTTCAAATTGTGATCCTCAGACCTCAGCCTCCTAAATAGCTATGTCTGAGACAGCACTAAGCTCATGCCAACTTTTAACATTTAGCTTTGCTCATTTTCATTTGATTAAGGATTCATTTTTATCTATTTCTTAATGTTATACATAGCATATTTTTAGTATACTTCTACAAGAAAAAAACATGAGCTTAAGTATATTAATGAATACTGTGATTCTGATATCATAGCAGTTGGCAAATACATATAGAAACCTATTACATATGTATTGCAGCAGTGATACTAGAAAGGAAAATATCATGTTTATATCAAATTATTTTATTTTTTTGTTGGTAATAAGGCTTGAACTCAGGGCGTAGGCTCTGGCTCTGAGATCTTTTGCTCAAGGGTAGCACCCTACCACTTGAGCTAAAGCACCACTTTCTGTTTTCTGGTGGTTAATTGGAGATAAGAATCTCAGGGACTTGCCTTCCTAGGCTAGCTTCTCACTGTAATCCTCAGATTTCAGCCCCCAGAGTAGCCAGGATTACAGGCATGAGCCACCAGTGCTCAGCTTCTTTTTAAAAAATTTATTATAAAGGAGCTGTATAAAGAAGTTACAATTCCATATGGCAAGTTATGAGTATAAGGCATGTGGCTCAATGCGATCCCTTCTTCATTCTCCCCTATTTTCTGCCTCCCATCCCTACCCTCAAGTTGCATAGTTTAGTTTTTACATAGTATACATTGAATATAAGAGTGCATTTGCCCTGCAATGATGTAAGAATTACCATTTTGTGTATATGACTTTCATAGCTGGGATTCCAGAGCATTGGCACCTGATATTTTTAATTTGTTCTCTGGGAGAATTTCATTTGCATCCATGTTTTCAGCTATCTGTTATAACTTGTTAAATATTTAAAAAGACAGTTTGCTTCTATTGGAATGTTTGTATTCTTGCAACTATATTTCTAGGAACAGCTGCAGTCAAAAATAAAACATTTTTATAAATTTTTTGGGGGGGTCCTGTCGTGGGGCCTGAACTCTGGGCCTGGGCGCTGTCCCTTAGCTCTTCAGCTCAAGGCTAGTGCTCTACCACTTGAGCCACAGCACCACTTCCGGCTTTTTTCTTTTATGTGGTGCTGAGGAATCAAACCCAGGGCCTCAGGCATGCAAGGCAAGCGCTCTACCACTGAGCCATCTTCCCAGCCCAGAATATTGGGAACTTTAAATATTAGGTATTACTTTGAAATAAGAAATGGTCATGACCTCAGAAAATAAGGGAAACATGTCTGTGTAAAAAAATTTCCAAAAGATAAGTTCATCACCATAAATATTAATATTAGGGACATTCAGGAAGATTAGTGTCTGACATGGTGGCTTACACCTGTCATCCTAACTACTCAGGAGGCTGAGCTATGAGGATCACAGTTCAAAGCTAGCAGGGGCAGAAAAGGCCATGAAACTCTTTTCTCCAATTAATGAGCAAAAAGCTGAAAGTGGAGATGTGGCTCAAGTGGAAGAGGACCAGTCTTGATCAAAGAGACCAAACTAGAATGTGAATCCCTGAGTTCAAGCCCCAGTACCCCAATCCCTTCACACACAACAATTTACATCTTATCAGGCTAAAACTGTATATTTGGATAAGCAGTCAGGTAAACCCAGCTTTGGTCTAGCCACTGCTGAGAATTTGCTCCAGTATGAACAAACATTTCTAAAAGTCCTTTCCAAAACTAATCATCTTTGTTTAGAACCCATTTTCTGTCCCACCTTCCACAAAACAAAACACAACTGGTCTAAATACCTAGTTCTTCTTGTTTATTAGCCTGGTACCTAACCTGACACTGGGCCACTTCTGGCTTTTTCTGTTTATGTGGCACTTTTTTTTTGGGGGGGGGGGCGGGAGGAGTTGGCCATGGGGCCTGAACTCTGGGCCTGGATGCTGTCCCTCAGCTCTTCAGCTCAAGGTTAGCGCTCTACCACTTGAGCCCAGTATCACTTCTGGCCTTTTATACTTCTGTGGTACTGAGGAATCGAACCCAGGGCCTCATGCATGCAAGGCAAGCACTCTACCACTGAGCCACCTTCCCAGCCATAAAATACATTTTTAAAAAGTTTTAACACTTAGGGCTGGGAAGGTGGCTTAGTGGTAGAGCGCTTGCCTTGCATGCCTGAGGCCCTGGGTTCGATTCCTCAGCACCACATAAGCAAAAAGAAAAAAGC